GCTCTACCACTTGAGCCACAGCGCCACTTCCGGCTTTTTTCCTTTTGTTTATGTGGTGCTGAGGAATTGAACCCAGGGCCTCAGGCATGCAAAGCAAGCACTCTACCACTGAGCCACATTCCCAGCCCAAAATTATTGTGTGTGAATGTGCACAGAACTGGCCTTGCACTCTTTTTTTTTTTTTTGCCGGTCATGGGGCCTGAACTCTGGGTCTGGGCGGTGTCCCTCAGTTCTTCAGCTCAAGGCTAGAGCTCTACCACTGGAGCCACAGCACCACTTCCGTTTTTTTCTGTTTATTTGGTGCTGAGGAATCGGACCCAGGGCCTCATGCTTGCAAGACATGAACTCTCCCGCTGAGCTACCTTCCCAGCCCCTAAAATGAAATTCTTTTGTTCTTGACCAGTTCTAAGCCATAATTACATATATTCAGTAAATATTTACATTATTTAATTTTTTATTGGATGTTCTGATGGTTTGAAAAGTGGTTTTGAAGTTCATTATTGTATTGCTTTCTTTACTCAGCACTTATATTAGAGGAGATTGCTATCGACTGTCATAATAAGGAAACTGAACAGAGGCTGCTTCAAGAAGCTCATGATTTGCACCTGTCTTCACTCCAACTAGCTAAAAAAGCTTTTGGAGAATTTAATGTACAGACTGCAAAACACTATGGTAATCTTGGAAGACTTTATCAATCAATGAGAAAATTTAAGGTAGAAACATGTTTTATACCTATACTAAATAATTTTCAGTACCCTTAAATATATAGCATATTCATTATAATTCTATTTTATTCTATAAAGGTAATATTAATAGCAATATTAGAATTGTATAATAATAGATTTTAATTATAGCAGTATAAATACTGTCTTAATTCTATTTTATTTATTCTATTTAATTCTATTTTAGAAGTCTGAGTTGGGGCTGGGAAGGTGGCTCAGTGGTAGAGTGCTTGCCTCACATGCATGAGGCCCTGGCTTTGATTCCTCAGCACCACATAAACAGAAAAAGCTGGAAGTGGCACTGTGGCTCAAGTGGTAAAGATCTAGCCTTAAGTTGAAGAGCTGAGGGACAGTGCCAAGGCCCAGAGTTCAAGCCCATGACAGACAGAAAAAAATAGAAGTCTGAGTTATTTGTCCATTTTGAGGTCTAGTAAAGAAAGATGAGGCAATCCAATATGTTTATTTAGCCAGATAACCAATTGTATAATCTCTCAGCCTGGGTTTAGTTTGTTGCAATAAAAATGATCAAACCAGGCTGGGAAGGTGGCTCAGTGGTAGAGTGCTTGCCTTGCATGCATGAGGCCCTGCGTTTGATTTCCTCAGCACCACATAAGCAGAAAAAGCCAGAAGCGGCACTGGCTCAAGTGGTAAAAGCACTAGCCTTGAGCTGAAGAGCTGAGGGACAGCGCCCAGGCCCAGAGTTCAGGCTCCACGACCAACCAAAAAAAAGGGATAGCATACCCAGTCCTAGCACCTGCATGTGCACATATGCACATACATGTATGTTTATATAAATTCACTCCTATACTAGAGTAGTTAGTTTTCATTTAAAAGTGTTTTAAAATTCTTCTAACAGTTTTTAATTACTTGAATAAGATTCTCTGATCACTGTTAATATAGGGCACTAGTACTACTACTACTACTACTACTGTTACAGCCATCAGCTTATGTGCACAATTTCTTTTTTTTGGGGGGGGGCGGGGGGACCCGGCCTGAACACTGTCCCTCAGCTCTTCAGATCAAGCTAGCGCTCTACCACTTGAGCCAAGTGCCACTTCCGGCTTTTTTTCTTTTTGCTTATGTGGTGCTGAGGAATCAAACCCAGGGCCTTATGCTTGCAAGGCAAGCGCTTTACCACTGAGCCACCTTCCCAGCCCCTATATGCACAATTTCTAAAAGCAGAAATGTTTTCCACAACTTTTGGAATAATGAAATAGGCTCTTTGTTATAGTTATGTAGGTACTAAAGCTTGAACCTTAGGGTCTGGTATGTTCCCTTAGCTTTTTTACTCAAAGCTGATACTCTACCATTTGAGCCATACTTCCATTTCTGGCTTTTTGGTAGTTAGTTAGAGATAAGAATCTTAGACTTTTCTGTTGCTTCTGTGGCTTTGACAGAGATACTCAGATCTCTGTCTCCTAAATAGCCAAGATTATAGGCATGAGTCGCTGACATCTGGTGAAATACACTCTTTCATTCTTATTACCTATTGCATCTATAAGCTGTCTTTAACATTTAAAACAGTACTATTTATTGGGTAAAAATTGTTGAGCTCAGAAAAATAATTCTTAATGATTGCTTTTTTAGGAAGCTGAAGAAATGCACATCAAAGCAATTCAGATTAAAGAGCAACTTCTTGGTCAAGAAGATTATGAAGTAGCCCTTTCAGTGGGACACCTGGCTTCTTTATATAATTATGACATGAATCAGTATGAAAATGCTGAGAAACTTTACTTGCGATCTATAGCAATTGGTACGTTACTTTTAAATTTTCTTTAGTCTGTTGCCTAAAGATCAGCATGTCAACATGTCTTATATGTTTGATAAGGGAAATGCTATTACTGGCACATAGAGGTTCAAACTTCAAAGGTATCTGGAAGCTACCAAAAAAACCCATCTGAAATACTTCAATAAATGTGCTTTTTTGATGTTGAACTCAATCAGAGGAGATATGATTCTAAAATGTCGGTTGTAGGGCTGGGAATGTGGCTTAGTGGTAGAGTGCCTACCATGCATGAAGCCCTGGGTTCAATTCCTCACTACCACATAAATGAAAAAGCCAAAGTGGCACTGTGGCTCAAGTGATAGAGTGCTAGCCTTGAGCAAAAAAAGCTCAGGAGCAGTGCCCAGGCCCTGAGTTCAATCCCCAGGACTGGTAAAAAAAAATAAAGGCGCTGGGAAGGTAGCTCAGTGGTATAGCGCTTGCCTTGCATGCATAAAGCCCTGGGTTTAATTCCTCAGCACCACATAAGCAGAAAAAAAAAAAAAAAATCCAGAAGTGGGGCTGAGGCTCAAGTGGTAGAGGGCTGAACTACAGCTGAAGAGCTGGGGTACAGTGCCCAAGCCCAGAGTTCAGGCCCCACAACTGACAAAAAAAAATAAAATGTCAGTTGTAGGTAAATTTTTAATCATTTTGCAGTAACTACTGCATTTCCTCCCTCTTCCTTCTTATGTCTTTAACATAGATTAAGTTTACCTCAGGCTTTTTTTTTTTTTTGCCAGTCATGGGGCTGAACTCTGGGCCTGGGCACTGTCCCTCAGCTTTTCAGCTCAAGGCTAGCACCCTACCACTTGAGCCACAGCACCACTTCTGGCTTTTTTTTCTCTGCTTATGTGGTGCTGTGAAATCCAACCCAGGGCCTCATGCATGTAAGTCAAGCACTCTACCACTTAGCCATCTTCCCAGCCCCTCTCAGGCTTTGTTGATATTAGTTTGGAGTATTGGTTTGGCTTGGTTTGGGATGTTTTTGTTTTGTTTTGCCAGTCCCTGGGGTTGAACTCAGGGCCTGAGTACCATCTCTAAGCCTCTTTGTGCCCAAGTCTAGCACTCTACCACTTGAGCTACAGTGCCATTCTGGCTTTTTGGGGTAGTTTATTGGAGATAAAAGTCTGATGGAGACTTTTCCGCCTGGGCAGGCTTCGAACCTCAGTTCTCAGGCCTTAGCCTCCTGATTACCAGCATTGGTGCCCAGCTTTTTTTTTTTTTTTTTTTAAGCATATACTAGGTTTTTTTGGGGGTGGGAGGGTTGTTTTTGTTTTTTTGGACATGGGGCTTGAACTCTGGGCCTGAACGCTGTCCCTTAGCTCTTCAGCTCAAGGCTAGCACTCTACCTCTTGAGCCACTGTGCCACTTCTGGTTTTTTCTGAGTGGTTTATTGGAAATAAGAGTCTCATGGACTTTCCTGCCCAAGGCTGGCTTTGAATCACAATTCCCAGATCTCAGCCTCCTGAGTAGGTAGGATTACAGGCATGAGCCACCAGTGAGGCTGATATGCTAGGGTTTGAACTCAAGCTGTTTACATAGGCTCTCTATTATGTGAGCCACATCATTAGCCTGTTTGTGCTGTAGTTATTTTTTTAATAGATCTCACATTTTTGGTCAAGGCCAACCTCTGTTCACAGTCCTCCTCCTGCTTATGCCTCTAGTTGAACTGGAATTACCAGCTTACATGCCATACTCAGCTTTTTTTTTTTTTTTTTTGTTGGGCGTGGGGCCTGAACTCTGGGCCTGGGCGCTGTCCCTCAGCTCTTCAGCTCAAGGCGAGCGCTCTACCACTTGAGCTACAGCGCCACTTCCGTTTTTCTGGTGGTTTATTGGAGATAGGAGTCTCACAGTCTCTCTTGCCCGGGCTGGCTTTGAACCGCGATCCTCAGATCTCAGCCTCCTGAGTAGCTAGGATTACAGGTGTGAGCCACCAGCGCCCGGCCCATACTCAGCTTTTTTTAAATCTATTTGCTGGTAATGGATCTTGAAGTCGCTCACCATTTTTGCTCATGGCTGATGCTCTTACCACTTGAGCCTTCACTTCCTGCTTTTTATGAATTAAAAATAAAATCTGAGGAATCGAACTCAGGGTCTCAGGCATGCAAGGCAAGTGCTCTACCACTGAGCCACCTTCCCAGCCCCCATGAGACTCTTATCTCCAATAAACTACTAGAAATCCAGAAGTGGCACTGTGGCTCAAGTGTTAGAGCACTTCCTTGAGCTGAAGAACCCAGGGACAGCGCCCAAGCCCAAAGTTCAAGCCCCACGACCGACCAAAAATAAATAAAATCTGCCAGATTTGTCTGACTGGCAGGCTTCAAAATTCAATCCTCTGATCTCTGCCTCCTGAGAATTATAGGTCAGAGCCTGCCTCTTAACTGCTTCTAGTGAACAATAATTCTAAAATATAACTGACTTGACAGCACTGTCACTTTTAATTTCAAGTGCCATATATATTAGTGTGTCTTCCATTTTAGTATTAACAAAATAAGATTCTGTTTGCCTGTTAGCAGGCATGCTGGCAGATGCCTGTGATCTTAGCATTGTTTGGAAGGCTGAGGCATATCAAGTGTAAGGCTTGCTTGAGCTACATATGAGTTCAGGTCAGTCTGGGTTATAATACCCTATGCCAAAAGTAATTAAATGCCTGTTAAGTCTCTTGCGCATTTTCATATTGAATTTTTACTTACTTTTTGACTTGAGATATGATGACCCCCTCATTCTAGGAGACCCTTTAAAGTATAGAATTTCTTAAATTCTTAAATTTAATTTCTTAAATTTCTTAAATTCATCTTTTGTGGTTAGCACTTTTTATTTTATTCAGTTTTTTTTTTTTAAATCACAGTTTTTGAACACTTTACCATTCACTTTTGCATCTACAGTCTAAAACCTGGCATTTGATTTTGGTGTGAGGTAGGAATCAGATTCCATTTTTTTCCTATATGCATATTCAGTTAATTTGGACCATTTCTTCAAAAGACTATCCTTTCCCTCAGTCTTAAGTCATGTGTCCATATATACATACATGAGTGTCTCTCGCTTAGCCATAGTATATTAACTTACATGTTCATTCCTAAAATGCATATTCTTAAGAATTACTAGCCCAGCAGGGTGCTGGTGGCTCACGCCTATAATCCTAGCTACTCAGGAGGCTGAGATCTGAGGATTGTGGTTCAAAGCCAGCCCAGGCAGGAAAGTCTGTGAAACTCTTATCTCCAATAATCCACCAGGAAACCGGAAGTGGCACTGTAGCTCAAGTGGTAGAGCGCTTGCCTTGAGCTGAAGAGCTGAGGAACAGCGCTCAGGCCCAGAGTTCTAGCCCATACCTTTGTGGAAAGCAAGTTTATTTAGTTTGCTCTTTATGTAGGTTTTTTTTTGTTGTTGTTGTTTTTTGTTTTTGTTTTGGGTCCGGTCCTGGGGCCTGAACTCTGGGCCTGAGCACTGTCCCTCAGCTCTTCAGCTCAAGGCTAGCGCTCTACCACTCGAGCCACAACGCCACTTCCAACTTTTTTCTTTTTGCTTATGTGATGCTGAGGAATCGAACCCAGGGCCTCATGCCTGCAAGGCAAGCGCTCTACCACTGAGCCACCTTCCCAGCCCTTTATGCAGGTTTTTTGTGTGTGTAAATATGTCAGCCCTGGAAGCTGAACTCAGGGCCCCACATTCTCACTCAGCTTCCCTGTTCATGTTTGGTGCTCTTACACTTGAGCCACACTTCCAGTTTGGCTTTTTGCTAATTCATTTGATATACCCTTCTTAATTTGAGTTATATACCCTTCTTAAGTGTAGATGATAGTCGTTTGAAAAATAATTAAGCTTATTTATGTTTATATTATATACCCCATCTTTACTTGGTTATTTAAGTATTTCAATGTTCTTAAAATCTCAGCTGTATAGAAAGGTATGCTCCTGCATGTGTAGTTTGCCCTGCTTTCTTCTGCCTAATTCCCACCTACCTGATACTAATTTCTTTCTTTCATTTCCCTCCCTCCCTCCTTCCCTTTCTCCTTCCTTCCTTCCCTCCTTCCTTCCTTCCTTTTTCTCCCTCCCTCCCTTCCTGCTCTCTCCCTCCCTCTCCCTCCCTCTCTCCCTCTCCCTCTCTCCCTTCCTCCCTCCCTTTCTCCCTCTCCCTTCCCCCCTCCCCCCCTCCCTCCCTCCCTTCTTCCCTTCCTTCCTTCCGTGTTGATCATGGGGCTTGAACTCATAGCATAGACATTGTCTTGGAGCAATATTTTAATCAAGGCTAGCACTCTACCACTTTGAGCTACATTGCCACTTACTCCATAGTGAAGCCAACTTTTCTTTTCTTTTTTTTGGGGGGGTCTTTTCTTTTCCTTTTTTTTTTTTGGGTCCGGTTATGGGGCCTGAACTCTGGGCCTGGGCGCTGTCCCTCAGCTCTTCAGCTCAAGGCTAGCGCTCTACCACTTGAGCCACAGCGCCACTTCCGGCTTTTTTCTTTTTGCTTATATGGTGCTGAGAAATTGAACCCAGGACCTCAGGCATGCAAGGCAAGCGCTCTACCACTGAGCCACCTTCCCAGCCCCTGAAGCCAACTTTTCTGTTGGAACTTACTCAAGAGAGTAGGTTAAGAGCAACTAATACAAGAATTGATTATAATCTTTTCAGCAAGATAAAGCTAGACTTTTTAGTTAAATTTTAATTAAAGAATTAACCTTGTGTAGAAAACACATTTGTTTCCGGAAGTATTTGAACTGACTTTCTTTTTTGTTACTTTCAGGGAAGAAACTTTTTGGTGAAGGCTATAGTGGACTAGAATATGATTACCGAGGCCTCATTAAACTTTACAACTCCATTGGAAATTATGAGAAAGTGTTTGAATATCACAATGTTCTGTCTAACTGGAACCGGTTGCGAGATCGGCAGTATTCAGTGACCGATGCTCTTGAGGACGTCAACACCAGCCCCCAGTCCACTGAAGAAGTGGTGCAGTCCTTCCTGATTTCTCAGAATGTTGAGGGACCAAGCTGCTGAGGGAGGACCTCAGTTAACCATTTATCTTTTCCCAGATTCCAGGGAATTCATACTGTGAAATCAAAACCAAGTCGTTTTGGGGGGCTGGAATTTGCATTGAAACACTGGTCCAGTCCATTGAAGACCCTATTTTGGGTAATCCCTATCTTGCAGAGTGTCCGTAGAATAAGTATATATTCAGTTATATTCAGCATGTAACGCATGTATAAGTAGTCTGGCCCACATTTTCAACCTAGTAGAACAAACAGGAATTTTTTTTTTCTTTTTAAAAAAGAATTCATTTTGCAGAAAGCCCGAAAGAAAAAAAAAAAAAAAGAACCCCTAAATAAAACTATTTAAGAGTTTAAAAAGAGTTGCATTCTTATTATGTAAGGATGATTTTAACAACTTTTTAACATATAATTCTTCCATGTGGAGGTATTCAATACTGTATTGTAAAGAAATTTTATGAAGAAACATCTTTATATGCAGTATAGAAAAGTAAACACAAGTACTAATAAAAGAGGGACATCCTGATTTAGGTTTGGCCACCTTACCAAAAAAAAGATATAACCACTTCAAAGCTATATTATAAGGGAAGGACTGTCAGATTCATCTGAACTGGACCAGTGTTGATCTGTAAGTAAAGGATATTAGTAGACCAGCAATTTTAATTCTTTTTTTGTTTTTGGTACAACAATGCAAGATACTTTAAAAGCATTTGCTGACCGGACCAGAAGGATCTAAAATTGGACCAGCCTAATGGAGAAGGTGGTTATTTGGACCAGAGGCTTTCGATTGTTTGAGCCCCTGCATATACTTTTATCAGTAGAATGATTTCACTTATATAATGAACGGTGATAATGCAAAACTTATATTCATATACTAGATGCCAAACTAGGAAAATTTGGCAATTTCACTGGCATATCTTTAGTCCAGGTACACAGACGGCCATGCCATAAACAAGTCTATAAATATCTGCTGCGGCCACCCCACCCTCATTTTAATTATCACTCTAATAATCAGCGCTGTTAATAAGTATATTGACTTAAAAGGTATGAAACAGCTCATGTCCAGATGGGAATTTTGGATTACTATATGGGTTGTGGGGAATAAGGAAAATGAATGCATAAAAGTAAGTTGTCTAAGAAAAATCTTCATTTTAATGGTACATAATAGTACAACTGAGTCATTTTGATTGAAGTCCAGAATTCATATAGAAAGAGCCCTTTATGATAAGTCTATTTCACTAATTTTGTTTAATGAGTTATTTTTTTTAAGTCAGTTGGGTTGTTTAATGTTGAGGTAATGTTCAAATTTAAGAAGTTGTGATATGTAACAAACCAAGAAATAAAAAGTTCTTTTGCTTTTACCTCAATTCTTACTATAGTGGCCCATCTGGTGCCTCTAGTTAAGAATCTGGGTTTCTCCCCTATTTTCAGGGGTTCGTGACTTGGCTGTAAGAGATGTTGCTCCTAGCTAACGCGTGGGAGTAGTCTCTGGGTGAGTGGGTGTGTGCTGAATTTTGTTTTCTTTTAATATGCATGTTGAGTGGGGGGGGGATGTAAACTCTCACACAGAGTATAGAAAAAAATGAATTGGAGGTTTTTAAATTCTTGTTAAACACTGGTTTGCACTTCCCAACTTTAACCTTGTTTGAAACTGCCCTTTGAAGTGTTAGGAGGCAGTGGATTTAGGTCCTTCGGAGATTTGTCAAGGGTGTGCCTAACAATGAGACACGCCCACACCCTGGGTTGATAACAGGCTTTGGAAACCTGGACTTACTCTAATTGGACTGCTTTCCTTTTAAGTTTTGCTAAGAAAAATAATTGGCATACTTGCAGTTTATGAAACTGATCTCTCTCCCAGTTAATCACAGTCAGCTGCCATGAGGCACCCTTTATTAATTACCAAATAGTCTTTGTGACCAAGGACTAACATTTTAAGTTCCTTAGATCTATCCTCATGGGCCTATATATGTGATTCCTCCAAAGATACTTTCAGGTTAGGCTTTGTGTACTCATTGGTTATTTAGAGCCCTGTGGTATGTTTGTGGTATAGGAATGTCATGGTAAATTGTTTTTTAATAAATAATTTGAAATGTATGTTTCCACCTGAATTTTTTTTTAATCTGATTTTTGTTTTGTGCACATACAGCATTTTATAGGATAAAACCAAGCAAGTTACTTAAGGCCTCTTCCTCCCTACTCAGTTTAAACCCCACTCACACTCAGTGATAAATGATCACAGGTTCATAATGTCAAATGGCAACCAGTTCCTTTTTTTCCCCCCCAAATATCACTATTGTCAGTTTTCTGTTTATCACCACTGCTTTACTAGAGTTTTCCATAAGTCGATAAAAGTTGATATAATGCCTGTACTCTGACTTAAGAAAACATTGCTGTTAATTATAAGAATTAAGAAGTTATTTCTGATTCTAGTAAAAAAAAAATCCCTAATAATTTTAAGTGTAGGATTTATTCCTTTAGTAAAAATATTTTGAGTACAAGATAAATATAACCATAACTTATGACATTAAAAAAAAACTCAAAGAAAAGAAGTAAAATGTACCTCATAATAACCAATAGTTTGCACAAACTTCTTACATGTGGTAGAGTCTGTATAAGGATGCCCACGAACTTAAAGGTTGTTTTTTGGAGGCTCGATGAAGTTATGTTAAATAATGGCCATTCGTTTCATCCTTTCATGACTTATAAAGTTTGGTGCTACTCAAGTTGGCATCAAGGAGCTCTTGGATGGTGCCAGCCAGCTGGTCAGTCACTCTGCATTCAGTTCAGTAGAGCCAATGGAATTTTTTTTTAAGCCACAAAGTCGCCTTTGTCCAAAGGATTAGAGCCCTTTTTACAATTTCTCTTTGTTTAGTTAAAACTGAAACTCCCAGCCAGGTGCTGGTAGCTCATTCCTGTAATCCTAGCCACTCAGGAAGCTGAGCCCCAAAAACCAGAAGTAGAGCTGTGGCCCAAGTGATAGAGCACCAGTCTTGAGCAAAAAAGGTAAAGGATAGTGCCATGGCTCTGAGTTCAAGCACCAAAAACAAAACAAAACAACAAAAACCCTCCTTGTTTCTCTGTAGTAACTTCTGCCCAGGTATTTTTGCATTATGAAATAAAGAATTTAATGGTCTTTGTTTCTAGCCCATAGAGTACAGTTTCATAGAATATGAAAATAGAAGAAACCTTTCATGATAGTACATGCTTATGGTCCCAGCTACTAAGATAACAGGATCTCTTGAGCCTACAATTTCAAGGTCGGCCTATGTACTGTTGCAAGATCCTATCTTTTAAAAATAGGCCCTTATGGGCTCCAGGCACCAGTGATTCAATGCCTCTAATCCTAGCTACTCAGGAGGTTGAGTTCAAAGCCAGCCTGGACAGGAAAGTCCCTAAAACTCTTATCTCCAATAAACCACCAGAAAACCAGAAGTGACACTGTGGCTCAAGTAGTAGAGCGCTAGCCTTGAGCTGAATAGCTGAGGGACAGCGCCCAGGCCCAGAGTTCAAGCCCCATGACTGACCAACAACAACAAAAGCAGCTACAATTTTAGAAATCTAAAGAGTATTATGTGGCAGGTTTTTTCTTTTTACCACAAATGGAAAGCTGAATAATAAACACATTCCTAAAATATGAAACTTTTGGCCAAAACTTTGTAAATTTTAAGGATGATTTGCTAAATGGCAGTTAATATTAACTGCCATTTTTTATGTTTTCCCCAGGATATATAGCCTTGTTGCTTCTAAATTTATATAGCTGGATAGTAAAGTTACTACTGGAAAGATTCAATAAGTGCTTCTTTTAGTTGTATTTTTGCTTTAAAAGTTAATGCCTATTTCACCTCTTGGGTTTGGAAGACCTCAAGTTACCAGAAAAAGAATTCCCTAAAATAGGATATTTGGATTACTTTCCAGCTTGAACACTAGTAGTTTTTTGTCCATGAATCTCAGGAATGTTTTGGATAGAAAACTGGTTTTACCCTGTTGATCTGAAGGAGTGTGCTTTAGGAATACTAAATAATACTATTCTTAATTGCAGCCCTAGGTATTTATAGCATGAGTGGCCTTAGTGAGTTCATTGAAGTGCACATGTTTTTCAAAAGTAAAATTTAAGATTAAATATATACGCTATATATAGATATCTAGAAAACTTGGTTTGTAGTGCACAGTTAAGTGTTGGATCACTAAATAACCATTGCAGGTACCATTTATGTAACATCTGTATATTTCTTTTATGGAAAGATATGTTGCCATGGTAACCAAAACATTTCAATTTATCTACTTTTATGATGTGAATGAATGCTACATTTTATTAAATATTACCAGGTCAGTACTATTTTTATACTTTAAGCAACAGGGGATTTTAGTTTTAATGGCTCAAGATACAAAGGACTTAATGGAACAATGAAAAACACATCACTAACATTCTTTATAGGAAAATCCCCACTTCTAGTGCCACAGTAATTTCTATAGAAATATCTAAGGTCATTAATAGATTTTTGAAGACAGTTCATTGTGTCAGAGTGACCTTTCATATCATTCTCACTGACTTGTAGCGCCCACCATTATTTGTAACTTAAACCATACTAAGTATGTTTGTAACCAGCATTGTGATATATTCTGTACTTGTATTGCTAAAAAATGAATTATTGACCCAATAAATATAGTGTTCCTGCATTCATAGTCTGTCTGTTTCCAATTGAGTTGTGATTGCTTTTGGTTGGGAGTCAGGATGTTTAAATTTTGTGCTGTTTTTATTATGTGAGAAATAGTTGGAACCAAAACAAATGTGTTGTTATTCGGGGAAATTGAGATGGATAGTAGAGGCGGTCATGGCAACAGCATCTGGAGATGGTGCTATTGAAAATACTTAGGAAATGACAGCGCACTAAAATGCATGGGGATTTTTTTTTTAATGTGCTTATGAAAGTGACTACCACTCTTTTCCCTAGCCTTCCTACGTAAAGGATAAAGTTGTTTGATAAGAGGCCTGGTAAAGTTCTGCTGGGAATAACAGAGAAAGTCCAACATTCAGATTTGAGTTTCAGTTCCTGCTCTGCCTCTGAACTCTAGGAATTTGTGTCATTTCAACCCTGTGTTTCATTTCCTCATTTTGAGGGTCACACTAGGTCTTTAAAGAAGGCTAAGCTGCGCACAGTGGCTCACACCTGTAATCCTAGCTAGTCAAGGAGGCTGAGATCTGAGAATCATGGTTTGAAGCAAGGCCAGGCAGGAAAGTCCCTGAGACTCTTATCTCCAGTAAACTACTTAGAAAAAGCCAGAAGTGATTCTGTGGCTCAAAGTGGTAGAGCGCTAGCCTTGAGCAGAAAAGTTCGGGGATAGCACCCAAGCTCTGATTTCAGGTCCCACGACTGGAGGAAAAAAAAAAAAAACTATCATGAAACAGCACAAATCTTAATAAGCACTCAAAACACTGTTACAGGATGGCACTACATTTCAAAAGATTATAAAGAAAAAGTCAACCTTCATTGTAATAGCATTGGCTTCATTGCTGGCACCTTTAACTATACTAATTTTTTTTAACTTCTTTTTTACATCTACATGACTGAAACTTTGAACATACTTTTTTCCCTCCTACATGGCATGCTATTTCCTGGGTAAAGTCTTAGTTCGTCTGTTAAGGAAAGTAAGTGTGCCCAGATCTATAGCCAGAAGATCTGAAAAGAGCCAGGTGCCAATGGCTTACATTTATAATCCTAGCTACTCAGTCTGAGATCTGAGGATAAATGTTCTAAGTCAACCCAGGTAGACAAATCTGCAAGACTACCCCCAATTAACTACAAAAAAACAAAACAAAAACCCATAACTGGAGGTGTGGCTCAAGTGATAGGTGTGAGCAAAAATGTTTGAGAGCTCGAGGCCCTGGATTCAAGCTCCAATACCAGAACACACAAGTTGAAAGGACTTCAAACCAGTAATTCTAGCCACAGTTTCATAACATTATCTGCAATAGCTAAAGTGGATAAAACAAACCCAAATATTTATCAATAGAGGAAGAGTTAGTTGCCTATACTGGAAATGAAATATTTAGCCTTGAAAGGAAAATTTGCAGGGCACCGGTGGCTCACGCCTGTAATCCTAACAACTCAGGAGGCCAAAATCTGGGCATCACAGTTCAAAGCCAGCCCAGGCAGGAAAGTCTACATACTTATCTCCAGTTAATCTCCAGAAAACCAGAAGTGGTGCTGTGGCTCAAATGGTAGAATATTAGCCTTGTGCATAAAGAGCCCAGGGACAGTGCACAGGCCCTGAGTTCAAGCCCTACAACCAACAAAAAAAAGAAAAGAAAATTTTGATGTATGCTACAACATGAATAAACCATGAAGACCTGCAAAGTGAAATTAGTCAAACAGTTACTGTGTGGTTTCAATTATGTGAGGTATCTAAGGTGGTCAGATTCACAAAAGCAGAAGGGGCTGGGAAGGTGGCTCAGTAGTAGAGTGCTTGCCTTGCATGTATGAGGTCCTGGGTTCGATTTCTCAGCACCACATAAGCAGAAAAAGCCGGAAGTGATGCTGTGGTAGAGCGCTAGCCTTGAGCTGAAGAGCTGAGGGACAGTGCCCAGGCCCAGAGTTCAGGCCCACGACCGAACCAAAAAAAAACCAAAAAACAAGAAGAAAACTGTTGCTTAGTATAAGGTATAGTTTCTGTTTAGAAGGTGAGAAAGTTCTGAAGATTGGATGTATAATGATATAAGCATAAGTAACACCAGTAAACTGTACACTTAAAAATATTTAAGATTAGACAGGTTCTGGTTGTTCACGCCTGTAATCCTAGCTCTTCAGGAAGCTGAGATCTGAGGATCACTGTTCAAACCCAGCCTGGGCAGGAAAGTCCATGAGACTGTGGCTCAAAGTGATAGAGCAATAGCATTGAGCAAATAAACTCAGGGGCAGGGCTGGGAATGTGACTTAGTGGTAGAGTGCTTGCCTAGCATGCAGGAAGCCCTGGGTTTGACTCCTCAGTATCACATAAACAGAAAAAGCAAGAAGTGGTGCTGTGGCTCACGTGGTAGAGTGCTAGCCTTGAGTAAAAGAAGCTCAGGGACAGTGCCCAGGACCTGAATTCAAGCCCCAGGACTGGCAAAAAATAATAATAATTAAAAAGTAATCCACCTAAAGTCCTTCCTCCCCTACCCGCCCCCCACACACACTGGAATGAAGTTTACCTAGTATAGATTTGATCATTCAAATTAAGCCTTTTAGTTTTTTAGAAATATAATCTCCCTAAATGCAGCTTTTATGAGAAGAGGGTGAGAGGTCAAGGAGGCAGGTGTTTACAGGAGAAGAAAGACTTAAGAGTCCAGAGACGTTGCCTTTTACTAGCTGTGGGGCCTGAGGCAAATCCTCCTTTTTTGAGTGTGGCTGCTCATCTGTAAGGTAGACACTACCTGTCTCTTGAGTTATGAATATCAACTGCCTAGATCAGTACTGGCTCATTACAGACACTCTGGAAATGTTTGTTCCTTTCTTGCAAGAGGGAAGCAGAAACTCAAGCTCTTCAAACTAAAATATATATGCTTGTGTAGATAGAAGAATCAATCCCTCCACAAAAGATGGTGCCCATATGAATCAGCTGGTACCAAGAACCATGCTGTTATTCAGAGTTCAGGTAATGTAACATTTGAGGGATATAACTTTTTTTGGGGGGGGGTCCGGCGTGGGGCCTGAACTCTGGGCCTGGGCACTGTCCTTCAGCTCTTCAGCTCAAGGCTAGTGCTCTACCACTTGAGCTACAGCGCCACTTCTGGCTTTTTTCTTTTTGCTTATGTGGTACTGAGGAATCGAACCCAGGGCCTCATGCATGCAAGGCAAATGTTCTACCACTGAGCCACCTTCCCAGCCCCAAGGGATATAACTATTTTATAAAAACAAAAAGCACTAGCTGGGCACCGGTGACTCCTACCTGTAATCCTAGCTACTCAGGAGGCTGAGATCTGAGGATCATGGTTCAAAGCCAGCCCAGGCAGGAAAGACTGTGAGACTCCTATCTCCAATAAACCACAAGAAAACCGGAAGTGGTGCTGTAGCTCAAGTGGTAGAGCGCTTGCTTTTAGCTGAAGAGCTGAGGGACAGCGCCCAGGCCCAGAGTTCAAGCCCCAAGACTGACCAAAAAAAAGTAAGGTATTCAGAGTATGGGAAGTTTAAAATAGGGTGTGGATATGAGCTAGGCCATATTGAGCAGGTTACATTTGCATACAAATTTGAATGCATGAAAGAGTCATATGTCCAAAAAGAAATGTACTCTTTATCTGACTTATGTAACTGTAACTCCTCTGTATATCACATTTATAACAACAATTTTTTTTAATTTGAGGGCAATGAAGAAGTTAGCCAAGTGAGAATCTTGTGGAAGAGGATTCCAGAGTGCAGAAACAACCTGTGAAAAAGTCTGCAGTCCTAAACAAGGAGCTATGGCTTGTATCTAGAATGTCCTCCAAAGGTCCAGGTATTCAAGGTTTAGCACTATTATGAGGTAGTGGAAACTCCTAAAAGGTGGAGCCTAGCTGGACACCAGTGGCTCAGGCCTGTAATCCTAGCTAGTCAGGAGGCTGAGATCTGAGGATGGTGGTTCAAAGCCAGCCTGGGCAGGAAAGTCCATGAGACTCTTATCTCCAATTAGCCACCAGAAAACCAGAGGTGGTGCTGTGGCTCAAGTGGTAGAGTGCTCACCTTGAGCTGAAGAGCTCAGGGCCAGTACCCAGACCTAGAGTTCAGGGCCCACAACTGACCAAAAAAAAAAAAAAATGGTGGAGCCTAGAAGTCTTAGGTAACTGAAGACATGCCCTAGGAGAAGATTGGGCCCTCCCCTTCATCCCTTTTTTCTCTTTTGCTTTCTACAGCATGAATTGAGCATCTTAATTCCACTATATACTTCCTACCATGATTATAGTAACACAGTACTACCTTATTTACCACAGGTTCCTAAGCAACGGGACCACCTGGCCATAGACTGAAACTTCCAAAACCAGGAGTCAAATCTTTCCTCCATATAAATTAAGTTCCACTATTTTGTCACAGTGTCAGAAAGCTAACATTATATGGTATGCCTAACATGAAAAAAGCAAGGATGACGGCAGAGTGATAGTAGAATGGATGGTGGGGGCCTGATAGGCTATTAGATAAGATGGATACTTGGGAGAAGGTGGCTCAGTGGTAGAGTGTTTGCCTTGCATGCATGAGGCCCTGGGTTCGATTCCTCAGCACCACATAAGCAGAAAAACCCAGAAGTGACGCTGTGGCTCAAGTGGTAGAGACCTAGCCTTGAGCTGAAGAGCTCAGGGACAGCACCCAGGCCCAGAGTACAGACCCCATGACCGATAATAAGTAAATAAAAAAAAAAAAAACAGATACTTGGGTGAAATGAGCTGTTGGAGGGTTTTAAGCAGATGATGTGCCTTTTTTTTTTTTGTCAGTTGTGGGGCCTGAACTTTGGGCCTGGGCGCTGTCTCTCAGCTCTTCAGCTCAAGGCTAGCGTTCTACCACTTGAGCCATAGCACCACTTCCGGGTTTTTCTGCTTATGTGGTGCTGTGGTATCAAACCCAGGCCTCATGCATACAAGGCAAGCGCTCTACCATTGAGCCTGATGTGCCTTTTTGAAATCACAGATCCTTCTCAATAAAAAGAGGGTTCCAGTGGTGCTGTGGGTCAAGCGGTAGAGTGCTCGCCTTGAGCTAAAGAGCACAAGGACAGAGCCCAAGCCCGCCCAGAGTTCAAGCCCCACAACCGACCAAAAATAAATAAATAAATAAAAATAATAAAATTATATTTTGGGCTGGGAAGGTGGCTCAGTGAAGGTGAAGGCCCCATGACTGGACCCCCCCAAAAAAAATAAATAAAAAGAGGGTTCCAAAGCCAGCCTTCACCGCTCTCCTGTATCTATCTCTCTTTCTCTTTTTCTTTTTTGTCAGTTGTGAGGCTTGAATTCTGAGCTTGGGTGTTGCTCCTGAGCTCTTCAGCTCAAGGGGAGTGTTCTACCAGTTGAGCCACAGTGCCACTTCCGTTTTTCTGGTGTTTAATTGGAGCCAGCCCGGGCTGGCTTTGAACTGTGATCCTCAGATCTCAGCTTCCTGAGATTAGGATTACAGGTGTGAGCCTCTGGCCCCTGACTCTCTCCTGTATTTTTAGGCTTTGTGACTTTTCTCTGGGCTAATAGGACACTCCAACTGACTTCTTTTGCACATACCATCAGCCCTGGCTGGAAGAAGGCAGATGTATTATCCCACAATTACTCTAGGTGGCGGTGTTGCCTGCAATATAAGGGATCTCTCTTTTTGGTTCTTTGCCTAGGATGGATTAAATCTCTCAGGAATAGGAAAAGTTCCTTCCAATCAGCCTGTCATTCTCTCCCAATGTTCACTGCTTTGTCAAAACTGCCATTTTCTCTTCTTTTCCCTCTCCTTCCTTCCTTCTTTCCTTCCTTCCTTCCTTTCTTTCTTTTCTTTCTTTGTAGGTCATGGGGTTTGAACTTGGGGCCCAGGCACTGTCCCTGAGCTTTTTTGCTCAAGGCTAGCACTCTTCCACTTTGAGTAACAGTGCAGCTTCAGGTTTTGTTGTCTTCAGTTGGAGATAAGAGTGTCATAAACTTTTCTGCCCACCTTGGCTTTGAATTGAGATCCTCAGATCTGAGCTGCTTGAGTAGCTAGGATTACAGATGTGGCCACCAGAACATGTCTGATAGATATTATATGATCAGACACACATAGGTATTGCACTTTTTGTTCCTTTCCTAAGAATATCCTCTTTTGGTCTCACTGTGTGTGAATGCTTAGAGACCTATTTATCATGTCCCAATGTACCTTATTTATTTATTTATTGTTGGTTGTGGGGCTTGAGCCCTGGACCTGGGCGCTGTCCCTTAGCTCTTCAGCTCAAGGTGAGCAATCTACGACGTGAGCCACAGCGCCACCTTCAGTTTTCTGGTGGTTCATTGGAGATAAAAGTCTCCCAGGCTTTCCTGCCCAGGCTGGCTTTAATCATGATCCTCAGATCTCTGCCTTCTGGGTAGCTAGGATTACAGGTGTGAGCCATCACCTAGCTATACTTTTATTTTTTGTTTTTAACCATCTATTGTGTTTACTTGTAGATTTAGAGATTCATTCTGGCTACCACAAGTGAGGGAAACCATGCAGCCTATGTTTCTCTGGGTCTGGCTTACTTAACGTACTATAATTTTTTTTCCAAGATTTTCCATTTTGTTATCATTCTTTCTGATGGATGAGTAGAATTCCTTTGTCCATAGGTGAGGTGTCTGCCTTCTTAGAAAGTGACTAGCATGTACATTATAAACAAATAAAATGAACAAAATAATGGCTATTATCCAAATAAAGCAGAACTGTCTTAACCATGTTTATTTATCACCCAATGAATTAAGAGCTGAGCATCCTTTTGATAAGGATGATTTCTTCTTTCCCCTCTTTAGTTCCACCTTGAGCTCTCCAGGAGCTGACATATTAAAGCCGCAGCGTGCTCAGGAGCAGGGGGAGCTGGCCCTTTTGTCCCGGCGGGCCCTCTTACGGGCAGCTCTCTGGAGTTTCGGGAGCCCCCTTAATCCTTTGCCTCTTGAGTTTTGTCTTTTGAGGAAGTTTCTTTAAATGATCTGAAAGAGGGGTTAGAGGACGTCTTGAGGATATCACGAATAGCGAGGGCTCTCGGTTAACAGGGTGGACATAGGGTGGACAAGGGAGCAGAGAGGAAGGTGACATCTTACCTCATCTTCAGCTGTGTCCCTTACTATCTTCCCCCAGAAACCCTCCTGCCTCGCAGGCTGGCCTCACTCACCCTGGTTTAAACTTAAGGGTTCCCACACAGGCACCGTGCAAAGCCTTACAGTAAGTTAGGGACACAGCACAGACCCAGGTATTCTGGCCTCTGGCTTCATGTTCTTATTCCTCCCTGATTCTTTCTTGGGTCTTCTGACCTAATTATCAGTATTTGGCAAACACCCGTGACTTTTGCATGTACCATCAGCAAGTTTCATGGTCCTCCTTCCCTCCAGGTCTGGGGCTTGAACTCAGGGCCTGGGTACTGTCATTGAGCTTTGTCTGAAGACTAGTGTGCTACCAATTGCGACACAGCTCTACTTCTACTTAATTGGAAATATTATGGAACTTCCTACCTGAGCTGACTTTGAACCATGATCTTCAGATCTCAGCTTCTTGAGTAGCTGGGATTACAGTCATGAGGCACTGGCACCTGGCTCCATCACTGAGTTTGTTTTGTTTTGTCAGTTGTGGGGCTTCTTGAACTCTGGGCTTGGGCGCTGTCCCTCAGCTCTTCAGCTCAAGGCTAGCGCTCTACTACTTGAGCCACAGCACTGCTTCTGGTTTTTCTGAGTTGTTTAATCGAGATGAGTCTCATGTCCTTTCTTGTCTGGGCTGGCTTTGAACCATGATCCTCAAATCTCAGCCTCCTGAGTAGCTAAGATTACAGGCATGAGCCACTGGCACCCAGCTTTCCATCATCTAGTTTTAATCAAGATAGGAACATAATGTTCTAGACACACCACTCATGATATTATTATTTATATGTGCTGGTCTTGAGGCTTAAACTCAGGGCCTTGGCACTGTTTCTTATCTTCTATCACTCAAGGCTGGCACTCTATCTATAACTATAGTTATAGTTCCACTTCTGGCCTTTTGGTAGTTCATTGGAGTTAAGAGTCTCACAGACTGGGCTGGCTTGGGATCGTGATCCTCAGATCTCAGCCCCTTGAGTAACTACGATTATAGGCATGAGCCACTGGTGTCTGGCCTGCCATGTTACTTTTAATTACACGGTATAGTCAGCCTACAAATGGTATTCACCATGTCCTATGTACTTTTTCATGCAACAATGATATGAACACAACTTCCCCACTATTGTATTCTAGCCCAGAAATGAGCTGGGGATGTAGCTCAGCAGTACACTGATTGCTTAGCATATGTGAGGCACTAGGTTCAATCCCCAATACTGAAATAAAAGATCATCAGGACTTTGAATCTGAAGTTGTGTTTATAGGTAGTGAAGCAAGCTGTAAAACAACAAGAAAAAAAGAAAAAAAAAGTGGACCAATTCCTAGTGCAATAGCCTGATCTCTCTGAAAGCTTAAGAATACAAAAAAGCTGGGCTCCAGTGGCTCACACCTGTAATCCTAGCTACTCAAGAGGCTGAAATCTGAGGATCATGATTCAAAGCCAGTCCTGGCAGGGAAGTCCATGAGACTCTTATCTCCAATTAAACATTAGAAAACCAGAAAAGAAGCTGTGGCTCAACTGTAGAGTGCTTGCCTTAAGCTGAAGAGCTCAGGGACAGTGCCCAGGCCCACCACCACCGTCATCAACAGCAACAACAAAGAATACAAAAAAGAGATTTTGTTGGATAAAAGATTAAGGAGATAGCCTGGTGAAATCTGTTTTGAAAAGCCAATGTGACAGTTATCTCTGAAATTTGAATATGGTGTATTTAACCTATTATTTGAAATAAAATGTTGACCTGGAAAAGTTGATACCATTTATTTTAAAAAAGAAAGTTGAGCTGAGGGACAGTGCCCAGGCCCAGAGTTCAGGCTCCACGACTGGACCCCCCCCCCAAAAAAAATAAAATAAAATAAAAAAGAAAGTTGAAATAAAAATTACATATAAGGGGTCTGGGAAGTTGGCTCAATGGTAAAGTGCTTGCCTTGCATGCATGAGGCCCTGGGTTCAATACCTCAGCACCACATAAGCAGAAAAAAGCTGGAAGTGGAGCTGTGGCTCAAATGGTAGAGTGCGAGCCTTGAGCTGAGGAGCTGAGGGATACTACCTGGGCCTACAGTTCAGCTCCCATGACCGACACAAAACAAAACAAAAATTACATATAAGGGGCTGGGAAGGTGGCTCAGTGGTAGAGTGCTTGCCTTGCATGCATGAGGCCTTGGGTTCGATTCCTCAGCACCACATAAGCAGAAAAAACCGTAAGTGGTGCTGTGGCTCAAGCGGTAGCACGCTAGCCTTGAGCTGAAGAGCTGAGGGACAGCGCCCAGGCCCAGAGCTCAGGCCCCACAACTGACAACAACAACAACAAAAAACATATAAAGTCAGCCCAGACAGGAAAGTCCATGAGACTCTTATCTCCAATTAAACCAGAAGTGGCACTGTAGCTCAAGAGGTAGAACACTTTACCTTGAGCTGAAGAACTCAGAAACAGTGCCCAGGCCTAGAGTTCAAGTCCCTTGACCGACCTCAGCCTGGGTAGGCTGAGGCAGAGGATAAAAACTTCTAGATAAGGCTGGGAATGTGGCTTAGTGGTAGCGTGCTTGCCTAGCATGCAGGAAGCCCGGGGTTTGATTCCTCAGCACCACATAAACAGAAAAAGCCAGAGTGGAGCTGTGGCTCTCAAGTGGTAGAGTGCTATCTTTGAGCAAAAGAAGCTTAGGGACAGTGCCCATGATCTGGAAAAAAAGAAAAAAAGAAAGAAAGAAAAAAGAAAGAAAGAAGAGGGGGTGGAGGGAGAAAGAGAGGGATAGAGAGAGAAAGAGGGAGGGATGAAGGGAGAGAGAGAGAGATAGAGAGAGAGAGGAGAGGAGAGCTCTGGTAAGTGAGTGGTAGGACAACAGCTTTGAGTGAAGAGCTAAGATACAGTGCCCAGGCCCCAGTACCAGCACACACTCTCTCTCTCTTTGAATAATTGCTTGAAGGGTTGGAGATATAGTTGAGCAGTGGAAGGCTTGCTTAGCATGCATGACAGTAAAGTCCTTGGGTTCTATCCTTAGCATCATATTTTTTTTTTCTAAAAACCAAACATCTTAGCCCGTCATCTAAGTCTTTCTCTCATTCCACCCCTTCTTTATACCCCTCAATTCCTCCGTTCCTTTCATTCACTGCCAGGCCCAGACTGCCCATTTTTGTGTACTGTCCCCTTTCCCCCTCCTTTTTTTTGTCAGCACTGGGGCTTGAACTCAGGGCCTGGGCACTGTCCCTGAGCCTCTCTGCTAGCCTGTCTCAAAGCAAGTGAGCCACAGCGCCACTTCCAACTTTTTCTGTTTATGTGGTGTTGACTGAGGAATCGAACTCATGTAATCTAGGCAAGCACTCTACTGCTCAGCCACATTTCCAGCCCTCATTCCCTTTCTTTTTTCTGTTCTCTTTTTTTTTTCTGTTGGTCATGGGGCTTGAACTCTGGGCTTGGGTGCTGTCCCTATGCTTTTCAGCTCAATGTGAGAGCTCTACCGCTTGAGCCACAGCGCCACTTCCGGTTTTCAAGTGGTTTATTGGAGATAAGAGTCTCACGGACTTTCCTGCCCAGGCTGGCTTTGAACTGTGATCCTCAGATCTCAGCTTCCTGAGTAGCTAGGATTACAGGTGTGAGCCACTGGTGCCTGGCTCCCCCTACTCCCTTTCTTTAAAGCCTGTTCAGACCTGTGTCCAGTGGACACCTTGTCCTGATCAACACACACCCTTTGCCCTGTGGCCTGGGAGAATTCATCTATAGAAGGAGGTCAAAACCTGCCAGCTCACTAGAAGGCTGTAGGGGGTGGTCACATGAGGCAAAAATTCAAAGCACCTGCCATAGAGTCAGGCTGACCCAGAACACCAGAACTTGCTTGCCTATCTGATTCAGGGGCTCCTTGGCTGAGCATTGTCTGAGAGCAGCTTTCTTTTTTTTTTTTTCCCCCCTTTGTTAATGTACATAGGTCTTCGTGCTTGCTAGGCAAGTTTCTACCACTTGAGGCACACCCTAGTCCTTTTATTTTTGCCTTTTCATTTTTTCTTTTTTCTTGTAAGGCCTTGCACTTTTGCTCAGGCTGTTTTCTCTGATCTCAATTCTCCTACCTCCACCTCTTCAAACAGCTGGATTACAGATGTGAACCACCATGTCCAACCCTGTCCATCATTCTTGGAAGTATTGCCGTATACTTCTTGATTCATGCTGTAGACACTCTGGCCCTGCACTGGGTTCTGGCCTCCCTGGCTGCACAGTCCACGCCAGCTGCCATGAACCTGTAATTGCTCCTGCTGGGCCCTGAGGCCCAGCAGCCCAGGTGGTGCCAGTGAAGGGCTGCCCCTGAGGTCACCTGAGGCCTACTGTCCCTCAATAGCCCCTCCAGCTGGGCCTTCCGAACACCTGAGTCCATCTTGGGCTCACCTTCTGAGGTCTTCGGGCCACCTTGTTTGCCTTTACCTTCCGTGGCAGTAGCAGAGCACGGACGGCATATGTGGCCCAGGAGCCAGTTCGAGAGATGGATAGGGCAACCATCTTTGTGTTCAGTGCATGGGAGGAGCCTTCATGGGTGCCAACTTGGCCTGAGTCCTCACTAAAGAGACTCTATTCTCTCTGACTCCCCCAACCTCTGTGCAGACAAGCAATTACAGCAGTCATGGCCAAAGTGGCAGAGAAAGACATGGTCATGCTACGCTCCCTTTAAGAATGAGTCCCTTAGCTGGTGGCTCACGCCTGTAATCCTAGCTACTCAGGAGGCTGAGATCTGAGGATCGCGGTTCAAAGCCAGCCCGGGCAGGAGAGACCGTGAGACTCCTATCTCCAATAAACCACCAGAAAACCGGAAGTGGCGCTGTAGCTCAAGTGGTAGAGCGCTCGTCTTAAGCTGAAGAACTGAGGGACAGCGCCCAGGCCCAGAGTTCAAGCCTCACGGCCGACAAAAAAGAAAAAGAAAAAAGAATGAGTCCCTTGGGTCTGGGAAGGTGGCTCAGTGGTAGAGTGCTTGCCTTGCATGCCTGAGGCCCTGGGTTCGATTCCTCAGCACCACATAAGCAGAAAAAACCAGAAGTGGCGCTGTGGCTCAAGTGGTAGAGCACTTGCCTTGAGCTGAAGAGCTGAGGGACAGCGCCCAGGCCCAGAGTTCAGGCCCCACGACCGGACAAAAAAAAAAAAAAAGAATGAGTCCCTTTCTTTTCCTTGTGCCCCACTGTATACAATAGTGAGAATTCTGTTGCTCTTCATAGATACTTCGTGGAGTCGGCCTGCTTGACCACTAAGAAACTGGCCCCATCTGGCTTTTAGTCATAGGGGAAAATGGCTTTATTTGAATGTTAACTGAAAACTTCAGGATTCAAAACCATATATAAACTAGCCAGGCACACTTATAATCCTAGCAACTGAGGAGGCTGAGATCCAAGGATCATGGTTTGAAGCCAGCCCAGGCAAGAAAGCCTGTGAGACTCTTATCTCACAGAAGGATGAAGAGAAGGTGGGAAGGAGGAAAAAGACCTTATCAGTGTGGAGCAGAGGCTTCTGGCCGCTCCCACTCCACCCACAAACCCCTGGTCCAGGCCCGACTTTGAACACCAAGTGGGGAATTACCTTTCCCCATGGAGTCCTGCTCCACCGGCTCCTCCAGCATGGCAGCACAGTGGCCTGGGGCCTGCATCTTGGACAGCCGCTCCTTCATGCCGCTGAGGTTACAGCGCAGTCCCCAGGCATCACACAGTTTGGGCAGGCTGTCCTCCTGGTCCACCAACAAGGATCTCTCTCGGGCGTCCACGGGCCAGAATGCCACCTGCAATGGAGTCACAGTCTTTCAGGGAGACTCAAAGGAGGGGCGGTGTGAATGCTACGGTGCCTTTCCTGTGCTGCACCTGACTGTATGTCCCAGTTGACTGGGCCAGAAAGATGAGGGGGGGAGGGGTGAAAGTCACAGAAGAGGATGAAACTGGGGACCTGAAGTTAGCCTGCCAACTGTCTCTTCCAGCTCTTCCAGGGTTGTGTGTGTGTGTGTGTGTGTGTGTGTGTGTGTGCATGTGCACCAGTCCTGGGGATTGAACTCAGGGCTTGGATACTGTCCCTGAGCCTCTCAGGGACAGTGCTAGCTCAAGGCAAGCGCTCTACCACTTGAGCCACAGCACCACTTCCTGCTTTTTCTGTGTATGTGGTGCTGAGGAATCGAACCCAGAGCTTCCTGCATGCTAGGCAAGCACTCTACCACTAAGCACATTCCCAGCTCCACTCCCCCCAACTTTTTTTTTTTTTTGTCGGTCGTGGGGCTTGAACTCTGGGTCTGGGCGCTGTCCCTCAGCAGTTCAACTCAAGGCGAGCACTCTACCACTTGAGCTACAGCGCCACTTCCGGTTTTTCTGGTGGTTTATTGGAGATAGGAGTCTCACGGTCTTTCCTGCCCGGGCTGGCTTTGAACCGCGATCCTCAGATCTCAGCCTCCTGAGTAGCTAGGATAACATGCGTGAGCCACCAGTGGCTGGCTCCCCCCCACTTTTTAAAAAATCAGTCCTAGAGTTTGAACTCAGGGCCTGGGCACTGTCCCTGAGCTTATTTTGCTCAAGGCTAGCACTCTACCACTTGAGCCACAGTACCACTTCTGGACTTTTCTGTTTATGTGGTACTGAGGAATTGAACTCAGGGCTTCATTCATGCTAGGCAAGCACTCTGCCTCTAAGCTACATTCCTAGCCCATTCCTGTATTTGTTTTAAATTGTCCTACTGTGTGTGTGTGTGTGTGTGTGTGTGTGTGTGTGTGTGTGTGAGTGCGCGCGCGCGCGCGCATGTGTGTGTTCCTCCAGGCCTTGGCTTTGTCCTTGAGCTTTTTTTGCTCAAAACTATTGCTCTGCCACTTGAGCCACAGCTCTACTTCAGCTCTTTTGGTGATTGTTTGGAGATAAAAAGTTTCACAGACTTTCTTGCCTACGTTGGCTTCAAACTGCAGTCCTCAGGTTTCAGCCTCCTGAGTGGTTAGGATTACTGGTGTTAGCCACCAGCACTCAGCTTAGAATGAGTTCTCTATCTTAATTTTCAAGCAAATTAGTAAATGCATATACTTTTTCTTTGGGTATAATTTTCTAATATGGTACTTTGTTTTCTTTTTCTTTTACTTTTACTTTTTTTTGAGACAAAGTCTCTTTATGTAGCCAGATTTTTCTTTTGTTGTTGTTGTTGTTATTATTATTGGTCATGGGGCTTGAACTCTGGGCCTGGGCGCTGTCCCTGAGCAATCCAGCTCAAGGCTAGTGCTCTACCACTTGAGCCACAGTGCCACTTCTGGTTTTCTGAGTGTTTGTTTTTGGGGGGGTCCGGTTGTGGGGACTGAACTCTGGGCCTGGGAGCTGTCCCTCAGCTCTTCAGCTCAAGGCTAGCGCTCTTCCACTTGAGTCACAACGCCACTTCTGGCTTTTTTCTTTTTTGCTCTTGTAAGTACTGAGGAATCGAACCCAGGGTCTCAGGCATGCAAGGCAAGCGCTCTACCACTGAGCCACCTTCCCAGCCCTTCTGAGCGGTTTATTGGAGATAAGAGTCTCACAGCCTTTTCTGCCCAGGCTGGCTTTGAACCACGATCCTCAGACCTCAGCCTCCTGAGTAGCTAGGATTACAGGCATAAGCCACCATGCCCGGCTCCCAGATTGTTCTTGAACTCTCAATCTTCTTACCCCAGTCTCTTAATCCTTTTGCCTCAACCTCCTGAGCACTGAAATTACAAGTGTGTGTCCCCACATTTGGCTACTAGGGTCAATATTGACAGAAATAAACTACCAGCAAATGCCTTCTAGGATTCTCTGTGATTTTCATGTCTTGAGTCAAAAGTGGGTGAAGAACTATTCTAGGATGAATCGGGGCTTTGACAACTACTCTCTTCAGCCATCTCCCCCACCCCACCCATGGCTCCTGACCATGGGTCTATGTCCTGGCCCCTGCCAACCTCAGAGTGAATAAATATCAAGAACTTGCTGTTTAAGCCAGGCACTGGTGGCTCACACCTATAATCCTGGCTACACAGGAGGCTGAGACCTGAGGATCGCAGTTCAAAGCCAGCCGGGGCAGGAAAGTCCATGAGACTTTTATCTGCAATTAACCACGAGAAAACCAGAAGTGGTGCTGTGGCTCAAGTGGTAGAGCACTGGCCTTGAGCTGAAGAGCTGAGGAACAACGCCCAGGCCCAGAGTTCAGGCCCCATGACAAAAAAAAAAAGAACTTGCTGCTGAGCCTCTTCCTTGGTCCTCAGGGCAGGGAAAGGGGACACAGTGGACTCAGGCAGAGCCATGGGTGGAGGCCAGAGGGGCCAGGCTGTATCAGAGGGCTATGCAATCCTAGCCTTCCCCACTGATGACGTAAGAGGCAAGTGCACCAGGCCTCAGCTAGTCCCTGGAGGAACTTTCTCTAAAGCTCACCAGGAACTTGGCTGTCTGATTGGTTTTGGTGTACTTGTAGAGCCGGCGAAGCTGCTTTGCTTCCAGTTCTGAGAAGAGAGAGATGAATCGCCAGAGCATCCTGCAGGGAGACACCTCAGGATGAGTGAGGCCCAGTACCACCCTTTCTGCCTGTGGTCCAGGACCCACTCGGGGAGGAACAGGCAGGGAGGGGAGGGAGGTTGGGATCTGCAGAGCTGGACTAGCATGTTGCTGGTGCATTATTCTTAGGTCGCAGAGTGGGGTGTTTGTCCATGTGCACAGGTGAAGTGCAGTCAGTGCTACCCTATTGAATAGAGGGGCCCTGTTCCTTTCACTCTGTCTCCTGCAACATCCCACCTCATCCACATAAAGAGGGACTGAAGATCTTGACAAGGATGTGAACTTGAGTGAAGATGAATGGTATACAGAGGGGATGAGGGGAAGGGCCTGGAGGCTCCTTACTTCTTCCAGTGCTTAATTTCCCAGGCTCGACAGTAATGCTGCAGAAAGGTGTTGATGTGGTCCCCCAGGACCTCGAGGCTCTTCTTCATGTACTTTAGCCTCTTCTTCTGAGGAAGGTCCTTGGGCAGGTTCAACTTGCGCAGGTACCTCTTCAGTGGCCTTAGGTATTCTTTACACTGAGGAGACAGCAGGAAAGATGAGGGGCTAAGGGGTGGGGAGTGGGGTTTGACAAAAGATGTATGGGCAGACTTTCATGACCAGCACATTAGCCCCGCTGCAGCCCTTCCCAGCTCAGAAAGGGCTATGTGGGTTCAGCAAGGAGCCTCCCCAACAGTTGTCCACAAGTAGGGCGATGAGTTGTGGGACTGAGGCCTGTCAGTTCCTCACAAAGGAATAGGAAACAGAGGCTTGTACTCAGAGTCTGACTTCTTACTCACAATTTTGAAGGTGTCCTGGTCCAGGCCCTTGGCATGGCGGACGAGTGAGGCTCCAGCGGGGATGGTGCTAGAGCTCCTCTCTAAGCAGGGCACACTGGTCACCTGGGAGGAAGCAGGTACAGTCAGCTGAGGACCTTGGGCCACTGCTCTGGAGGGGGCAGTGTTGGGAAAACCTTGGTTCAAATGGCAGCCAAAACCTTTCTCCATTGCCCTCTTCTTTCTTGACCCAGCACTGTTTGCAAAGAAACTTAGAGAATCTAGCCCAGGGGGTGGAAGGATCTAGATCCAAAATGGGCCCTGGGCAAAAGTGTGAGACCCTATATGAAAAACTAATGCAAAAAGGAATAGGGATATAGTTCTACCTCAAGTGGCAAAGTGCTTGTCTAGCAAGTATAGGTCCCGAGTTTAAACCCCACTACCACCAAAAACAAAAATAATCTTGAAATATTCTGATTCTTTTATAATACTAGTAGCATGTTATGCTAGGTATCATTTTTTTGGGGGGGGGTTCGGTCATGGGGTCTGAACTCTTGGCCTGGGCACTGTCCCTCAGCTCTTCAGCTCAAGGCTAGCGCTCCACCACTTGAACCACAGCGCCACTTCCGGCTTTTTTCTTTTGCTTATATGGTGCTGAGGAATCGAACCCAGGGCCTCAGGCATGCAAGGCAAGTGCTCTACCACTGAGCCACCTTCCCAGCCCCTATGCTAGGTATCTTTATAGAGCTCTTGATAAACATTAACTCCTTTTATTCTGTTACAAATTCCTGGAGGTTACATATGATTACCTTTGGTTACGAATGAGAACACTAAGACATAAAAAGATTTCCAAGATTCCTTCAAGGAAAGATCAGGGGGGCTCATTTATTTATTTGTTTGTTGTTTTTACTAGTCCTGGAGGTCGAACTCTGGGCCTGGGCACTGTCCCTGAGGCTTAGTACTCGAGGGTAGTGTTTTACTACTTCAGCCATGTATTTTCTTTTTCTTGGTTGGGGAAGAGGGGCTAGTTAATTGGAGATATAACTCTCATGGACTTCCTTAGATCTCAGCCTCCTGAGTAGTTAGGATTATAAGCTTGAGCTACTGGTGTCTGACCTGTGTGTGTGTGTGTGCCAGTACTGGGGTTTGAACTCAGGCCCTGGGCACTGTCTCTTAGCTTTTTGCTCAAGGCTGGTGCTATATCACAGATCCACTTCTGGCTCTTCGGTGTTTAATTGGAGATGAGAGTCTCAGTGGACTTTCCTGTCTGGGCTGGCTTTCAATCTCAATCCTCAGATCTCAGAATCCTGAGTAGCTCAATGATTACAGGTGTGAGCCATCAGTGCTTCATGTATTTTTCATTCAGTAAACGTTTATTGACTACCCAAACCTCAGGCATATGTCTTTACATCTATACCTTTAACGCCATGGCATGGATCTGAAGGACATAGTGTGACAGTGACCACCAGAATCTTTTGACAGCAAAAAAAAAAAAAAGTGGGGCAGGGCTGTGGGAAGGTGGCTCAGTGGTAGAGTGCTTGCCTGGCATGCATGAGGCCCTGGGTTCAATTCCTCAGTACCACATACACAGAAAAGGCTGGAAGTGGTGCTGCGGCTCAAGTGGTAGAGCGCTAGCCTTGAGCAAAAGCAGCTCAGTTCAAGTCTCAAACTGGTAAAAAAAAAAAATAAAAATAAAGTAGGGCAAAGAGAATAGGCAATTCATTAGTGGTTCCGTTCAAAGTGATTGTGAACTACTATTAGAAGTCAGAGCAGCTGGATTAGAGTACATGTCTGGATTTACATCCAACTTTCCACAACTTCCACAAGCTGCTCTGTGTATGTGTGTGTGTGTGTGTGTGTGGTGTGTAGGTTGTGGGCATGAACTCTGGGCCTGGGCCCTGTTCCTCAGCAATTCAGCTCAAGGCTAGGGTTCTACTACTTAAGCCACAGGGCCACTTCTGGCTCTTTTTGCTTATGTGGTGCTGAGGAATCAAACTCAGGGCCCCATGCATGCAAGGCAAGCGCTCTACCACTGAGCCACCTTCCCAGCCCCAACAAGTTTCTTTTTTTTTGGTCGGTCATGGGGCTTGAACTCTGGGCCTGGGCGCTGTCCCTCAGCTCTTCAGCTCAAGGCAAGCGCTCTACCGCTTGAGCTACAGCGCCACTTCTGGTTTTCTAGTAGTTTATTGGAGATAAGAGTCTCACGGAGGGCTGGGAAGGTGGCTCAGTGGTAGAGCGCTTGCCTTGCATGCTCGAGGCCCTGGGTTTGATTCCTCAGCACCACGTAAGCAAAAAGAAAAAAGGCAGAAGTGGTGCTGTGGCTCAAGTGGTAGAGCGCTAGCCTTGAGCTGAAGAGCTGAGGGACAGCGCCCAAGCCCAGAGTTCAGGCCCCACGACCGGACCAAAAAAAAAAAAAAGAGTCTCACAGACTTTCCTGCCCGGGCTGGCTTTGAACTGTGATCCTCAGATCTCAGCCTCCTGAGTAGGTAGAATTACAGGCGTGAGCAACTGGCACTCGGCCCCAAGTTTCTTAGCAACACCAGTGTTCTTTCCTATCTACTAGGGGGAAGAATGATGTCCCATCCATCCAGACTCTGAAGGGAAAGGGCAGGGAAGGTGTAGAAGTAGTGGGATCAGGGACAGACAGGCTCCTCCAGGCCCCTAAAGAGAGGGGACTTTGGATAACTTCAGAAAGGTGGGTGTCTAGGACACTGCACAACTGCATCAGCACACACACACCACACATGTATGCACACATACTTAAACTGGACCCTCTAGCTAGCTTCTTGGCAGGATCACAGGTCTCTGATAAGCATGTTTATCACCTTTTCCCCCCTCTCTTCAGGTGCTGAGAATCAAAGCCAGATCCTCCAGGCGGGTCAGGCAAATGTCCTGCTCCTGGCCTACACCCTAGGTCATCTGTTTGAATGACTTATATTCTCTCGCTCTCTGGGCCTCTTGCTCACTCATGGAACCCCATTATTTCCCCCTTGTTCTCATTTTTGTTTTGTTTTTCCTTCTACATCTCCTCTACTTTTCCAAAACCCACCCACCTCTGGGAGGGACCTTCCTTTCCTTGGGGAGGTGTGTGTGTGTGTGTGTGTGTGTTTGGGTGTGTGTGTGGGGTGTCCCTCATCGTCTCATCTTTCTGTTCACCTTCTCTAGTGGTTTGTCTCCACCCCCCTGCCCATCAGAACCCTCCATCTCCAGAGGGGTGCTGGAGGGCTCCATCCAGGCTGGCACTCCTCGGGTCCCCTCGGGCTTCTGACCCTCACAGCTTCGGTGACCTTGAGTGTCCCAGGGAGTGGACTGGTTGGCTCCAGAACTCCGAGCAAAACCATGGCAACTGCCAACACAGAGCCCAGGCCCCCTCCCCCTCCCGCCCCCAGGCCAGCGCCTCCAAACCCCAGCAGGGACCGGACCCGGACCGGACCCTGGGTGAGCAGAGCAACACGGGGCGGCAGACTGGAGAGTTTGTGAGGGGACCCCCCCAACTGAGCCGGAGGGGCTGGTACCCCCTTTCTCCCAGGAATCAGATGCCGTTGATTTTGAACCCTGGTAAGGCTTTGGAAGCAACTGTCCCGCGTGGGAACCATTCCCGCCCTGCCCTCTTTGGTCACACGGGGACGGAGGGGATCCCCCCCCCCTCCAGGGCTTGTAACATTCCTTTCCGGATTGGGGACAAAGGACTAGAGAGAAGGTGGGCGCTTTTCCCCTCGGGCAGTCTCCAGGAAGGTCCTAGGCCAGTGGCGACGGGTGTCGGGGCTGTTTTGGGGAGCGTCCTTTGGGCCCATCTTTCCCCGGGATGGGGCCCGGCGGGGACCCCGTGGCGCACGCCGGAGCGGGGTGTGTAGAGGCGGCTCACTTGCCTTGGGTCCGCGGCCACGAAGTGGATGCGGGGGTTTGGCTCGGGCTTTTCCCACCAGCGTGCCCTCGGGGGGACGGAGGCAGCGGGGTGCGCGGCGTCCGGGGGTCTCCGGGGTCCGGCGGGCCGGGGGACGTTGGCAGGCGCTGCGTGCAGCCGCGGGGTGCAGCCCGGGTCTCTTCGCCCCCAGCGCGGCACTGGCGCCCCGCGTCCTCTGGGGCCGAGACCGTTGCAGCCGCCGTTCGCTCACTCGGGCCTCATCTTCTCCCCCGGAGCGCTGGGTTCCACCGCAGGAACCTTCTTCCCGGTCCTCGGAGGGTCTGCGGGGCAGTTTCCTTACCCGGTTTGATCCAGGTCTCTCCCTGCTCTGGTCCTGGGTGATCTCTTTTCGGCCTGCTAGCAGAGACACCTGTTAGGGACCTGGTGCAAGGCCTGCGGGGCAGTGGGGCGGGGGTGAGATCCCTTTCTGTTTGGTGATGGTCCTCTTCCTCTTCCTCCTCCTCCTCGTCCTCCTCTTCCCTCCTCTCCCCCCTCCTCCGTGTGTGTGTGTGTGTGTGTGTGTGTGTGTGTGTGTGCTAGTTCTGGGATTTGAACTCAGGGCCTGGGTGCTGTCCCTGCACTAATTTTTGCTCAAGGCTAGCCCTCTTCATCTCCACTTGGCACTTTCCAGCTGACTTGGAACTGTGATCCTCGATCCTCAGATTTCAGCCTTCTGCGTAGCTAGGGTTACAGGTATGAGCCAATGGCGCTCACCTTCCTTGTTGTTGTTGATGATGAATTTCACCTTCTCCTTCTTTTTCTTGTGCCAGTCCTTAGGCTTGAACTCAGGGCCTGGACTCTGTCCCTAAGCCTCTTTGTGCCACAGCCCCACTTCTGGCTTTTTCTGTTTATGTGGTACTGAGGAATTGAACCCAGGTCTTCATGCATACTAGGCAAGCACTCTACCACTGAGCCACATTGCCAGCCCTTTCCCTGATTTTTTGTTCAAGATTAACACTTCCAGAATCACTTCCAGATCTTTTGGTAGTCCTGCCTGGTCTAGGTTTGAACTGTCATCTTCAGAAGTCAGCCTTCTGAGTAGCTTGAGTGAGTAACTAGCACCTGGGTTTGGAAATTCTTGTTAAGTTCTCTGTACCATAAAGCTTAGCAAATGTCTTTGATTTATTTTTAAGGGGAGAGAGAAAGGGGGGGTGTACCATTATAGGCCCCAATTCTCTGCCTGCAAACTGGAAGGTTTGTTCTCTGAGTATTCACTCAGAATTATTTTACTGCAAAGGATAATCACATTAGCCAGAGCAAGGGGAAAGGAGCCCTTCTATGTACTTTTATTCAGAGTGGCAATTGGTAAATGACATGTTCCAAAACATTTAATGAGACCTCTTACCCATCATGGTACTTGCAGGATTAGTCCTAAATTGGAAAGTTGTTGAAGACCCTTGCAGTAGTGACATTTTGGAAATAATTGAAATGTCAGCAATAACAAATGAAACATGACATGAAGATACAAAGGTTAGAAATCAAGTATTAAAATGCTGCACTTGGTGTTTATCGACATGGAAATGGAACCAAATCAGTCATGAAGTACAAGCTTCAAATATCAAGGGTGACTTCTCACTGTCTTTGTTTTAAGAAAATAATAAATGTGCTCTACTTTTAGAGAAGAGTCTGGTTTTGGCTTTTGAGACAGGGTCTGACCTTGAACCACAGATTCTTCTGCATCTACCTCACAAGTGCCCAGATTAATATAGGTGGGTTCTATCAGACCTAAGAGTCTGGTTTGTTGATTGTGCTTTTTTTTTGGGGGGGGGGAAGGGGGTGTTTTGTTTGTTTGGATTGGTACTGGGGCTTGAATTTAGGACCTAGGCACTGTTCTTTAGCTTTTTCACTCAAGGATGCCACTCTACCATTTCAGTCACAGCTTTACTTCTCTCTTTTTGGTGGTTAGTTGGAGATGAGTCTCATAAACTTTTCTGTCTTTGAACATTGATTCTCAGATCTCAGCCCCTCAGTGGATAGGATTATAGGTGTGAGCCACCAGCACCCAGCTAAGAGTCTGTGTCTAAAAGCTACTCATCAGGACTAAGTAGCATCATTAAAACCTTAAAGCAGAACACAAAAGAGTATTACACATTAAAACTCAGAAGTACATAGAAGAACCATAGTTTTGTTTTTTTAAAGGGAGGGGGCTGGGAAGGGGGCTCAGTGGTAGAGTGCTTTCATCATGAGGCCCTGGGCTTGATTCCTCAGTTCCACATAAGCAGAAAAAGCCAGAGTGGCACTGTGGCTCAAGTGCTAGAGCGCTAGCCTTGAGTTGAAGAGCTGAGGGACAGCGCCCAGGCCCAGAATTCAGGCCCCATGACCAACAACAATAACAAAAGAAGCAGCAAAGATTTAAACATACACTCACCTAGCAAGGTGCCAGGTGGCTCATGCCTGTAATCCTAGTTACTCAGGAGGCTGAGATCTGAGGATCACGGTTCAAAGACAGCCTGGGCAGGAAAGTCCATGAGACTCTTATCTCCAATAAACCACTCAGAAAACCAGAAGTGGCACTGCGGCTCAAGTGGTAGAGAGCTAGCCTTAAGCTGAAGAGCTGATAGTACCCAGGCCCAGAGTTCAAACCTCATGATCGCCAAAGAAACAACAACAACAAAAACAAATAACAACAAAAAGACACTCTCCTAGAAACACACGTCTACAATTCCGAAGGAAATAAGTGTTCAAACTTCAAAGCTTAGCCATCTTGCCGCTTAGCCTACTGTATCCTCCTTTTCACTCCTGGAGCTTCCAGCCAAGCTTGGGCTCTGGACAGTTGCCCTATTTCCCTAGTAGGTTTTGTTTTTGTTGGTCATAGGGCTTGAATTCAGGGCCTGGGCACTGTACCTCAGCTCTTGCTTAAGCCACAGTGCCACTTCCAGTTTTCTGGCAGTTAACTGGAGATAAGAGTCTCATGGATTTTCCTGCCTGAGCTGGCTTTGAACCATGATCCTCAGATCTCAGCCTTCTGAGTAGCTAGGATTACAGGTGTGAGTCCCCAGCCCCCAGCCCCCAGCTCCATAGTAGTTCTGTTGTTAACACAGGGTGTAGTTTGAAGGTACAACTGAGCTCAACAGCAGTCAGGAGTAATGGCTCAAATGCATTAATTAAGGCCCAATATAAGTCCATGACATTTGGGAGCTATTTTTCAAAATTCCATTGGTCAACAGAAAATGACGCTAAGGAGAGTTGACTCATTCAAACAAGGTATTGCTTGCAACATTTCTTAAAAATAAAATGAGGGGAGGCTGGGAAGGTAGCTCAGTGGTAGAGTGCTTGCCTTGCATGCATGAGGCTCTGGGTTCAATTCCTCAGCACCACATAAGCAATAAAAGCCAGAAGTGGCGTTGTGGCTCAAGTAGTAGAGCACTAGCCTTGAGCTGAAGAGCTGAGGGATAGCGCCTAGGCCCAGAGCTCAAGTCCATGACTGACAAAAAATAAAAAATAAAATGAGTTGGGTGCCAGTGGCTCACACCTGTAATCCTGGCTGCTTAGGAGGCTGAGATCTGAGGGTTGTGGTTTAAATCCAGCCAGTATAGGAAAGTTCGAGAGACCAAAAAAAGCTGGAAATAGACCTGTGGCTCAAGTGATAGAGTGTTAGCCTTGAGCAAAAAAAATTCAGGAACAACACCCAGGCCCTGTGTTCAAGCCCCAGCACTAACACAAAAATATGTTCAAGCTCCAGGACTAACACAAAAATAAACAAAGAGCTATGTGTCATGTATGAGAGGGGTAAAGGTGGGGGTGAAGGCTATCCATTTGTCCACTCTACTTCATGCAACAATTAGTCCCATAATGATCATGCTCCATCCTTCTCCAGGCCTGCAGCATGGAGATCCTGAAGTTCTTGTAGGTTCTGAAAAAAAAAAAAAAAGAACATGGAAGATGGATCTTAGCACCTGAGTATGTTTCCCTTATAGAGCTGGAGAGCTGGTCATCTTTTGCTCACTCTAGGTTAAACAGTGCTATGGAAATTTCTCTTCCCCCTAGAAGAACTCTCCTCTATTCCTTCCTTGACAAGAAACCCCAGAGGTTCTCTTGATTTTGTGGACAACTTACTTGATTATTCAATTAAAATTGTACTAAGAGTTAGGCAAGCACACCTGTAAGCTCATCACTTGGGAGGCTAAGGATTGCAAGTTGTTTCGAAAACAAAAAGAAACAACAACAAATTGCAACAAGATCCCCAGAAAAGAAAGGCTATTCTGATTCTTGTTCTAGCTGGAGTACTGGTTTCTCAGAGAATATTGACCGCCCCCCCCTTCCAGCTGAGGGGCAAGCCAAAACCACCACGGTCTCAGTC